ATAGGATCATCCTTAATATTATCATTCATCTATGCAAACCACTTTTAAAATGTACCATGTAAAAACGCTGATCTAAAGCATGTTGGTGTTTTCATGCTCCCTGACTCAACGTATGGGATCGGTTATTTTCCCTTATGTTCTCTGTCTTACTTGGCAAATATCTTCCATACTCTGTGTTTCTAATTGAGTTTATAACGAACATGAACTCCTTGTTTGTGCAGTAGCTTGTCCGGTGATGTCATCTGTGCTCTGGGAAAGCGAGATGCGTGCTTACCTTCCACTGCATTGGGTGCAAACATATTGTTACGCTAGCATCTAAGCAAGCACTGGCTGCTGGTCATTATCTCAGCAATGTTTAATAAAAAAATCAGACACTGAAACTGTGGAATGATTTTCCCCATTAGCTAATGGGAAGTGTATTTAGACTACTTCTTAATGTGTCCTTTTTAAGCAAAAAAGGGTAGCAGGCTTTGACTGAACACTGTCTTCTCTGCTACTATGTATTTATACTGCATTTGAATGGTGCCTTTAGAGGAGCTTTTAGCTCCCTGATCTAAATAAAGAAAGGTGTAGGATGAGTCCAAGGAAAATAAGGGTAGAAATGACCTCACCCTGTGGGGACATGGTGTACTCACTAAACTCCAAAGAGCTTTGTAGAAACTAGCAGTATTTTCCTTTGTACGAACATGCTCCTACTATGAATGGGAGCAGAAATGCTTCCAGAAGCTGTTCCAGAGGGAAGAGAAACAGCTTCTATCTTAAGTTCGCTACGTTCCTAGAGTTAGTATTGTGGCTTATCTCCATTAAATAGATGTAATATTATTTGCGCTGCATTTTTTTTTTGATGTGGGCAAGATGAAACCTAGCTGTCACCAATCTCCACTATACTGATCTGTATGGAAAAGGAGCAGGGGTGAGCTCTGTGTCCTTGAGCTTTCCTGAGTTCAGAGGGCAGCTTGAGACTTCTCTCTGCAGGGAGCGGGGCAGGCTTCAGGCTTTATTCTTGCAGAATGAACTGGAGGTTGTGATGCACACCTATGTCTGAGAAGTGGCCCCTGAGCCGTTGGTGTTGCTGCATTGTTTTTCCTTTTGAGGCTTCCATTTCCAAGCTAGACAAGGTTGAGGGGAACCGAAAGTTATTGCATGTGATAGAAACAGGGCAAGTGATATGCGTGGGGTTCTGTTTCTAACATGCCCATCTCCTGCATCAAGGGCTGGTTCTGGCTCTGAACATACAGGTTCCCAAGTCTCACACTCAGACCCATCGCTGTTAGCACTCTTAGTGTAGAGGCCAAGGGAATGGAAACTGCCCTTCCCTTCAGTCCTTAGAGCTTAACTCGATGGCAGCGGGGCAAGCCAGTGATTCCCAGCCAAGGTGCTGCAGCACCCTGGGCTGCCTTGAGATCCTTTCAAAGGTGCTGTGGGGTACCATGCAATGTTAGCTCTGTGAGGTGTGCACACATGATTCGCAAGATAAACCCAGAGATTTCAAATAGGAATTCATGTAAAAAATGTTCTGACCTGTCATGGTCTTTCTGAGTTCTTTGCACCAGAAGAAGTGCTCTATTATTTTTATGTAGTCAAAAAAGAGGTGAAAACTACGATTTGGCATTTTCTGAGGGGGCCTGCAGTCTACAAAGGTTGGAAAGCACTGGGCTAGGTGGATAGTGGAAAAGTGCTCTAAGCTGTCAGAGCTGCCTAGCTAGCCTGATTCAGTGTTAGTCTGGCTTTCTGTACTTCAGCAGGTAACAAAAGTAGCTATAGTAATTCCTCTCTCCACCACCCGAATGCATTAGGGAGTGTTTTGCTAACTGCTCTACCACACTGCTTAGAAATGGAAGGTTCAGCTCTGGGATCTAATTAACAAGGTCTCCAAGTTCCACTGATAGTTTCGTTAGTAATGAACTGCTTGGCAGGAAATGGAGGAGGTGTGGGCAGTCTGTTAGGAGCCGTCCCAAAAGATCTCTGCTTTGTTGCTGGCCGAGAGAGTCGGGGTCACAAGCAGTCACCCTGACTGCAGTTAGTGCATCCATCACTTCATTTGGTAGGATCAGGATAACTGGAAGGAGGAGGTGTCCCCTGAGACCATGCCGGATGCCATCCAACCCAGGTTTTTTCTTCTCTCCCTTACTGTCACTTTTTTGCTTTTCAATCTATAGGCTAAAAAATGAAACTAACTAGTGTGTAATGTACTGCTGGTTGTGTGTTAAATCACTGCGGCACATTTTGAGGACTTTTACCTTCTGGGGTAACCAACAGACTGTTCAAACGTCAGGCAAAGCATCAGGCAGCCGCATGATTGGGCTACCAGTGCTGAATCCTATACAGAAGACTCAGGATCACTGCTGATAGTTCCCTCAAATGCTTCATGGGTTCAGTTGCTGATCCCGTCACAGCCCTGGGACTATGTCACTCCACACACTGAATGCCCATGGTCCTGCAAGTGTCTGGTTCGGAGAGGGGACATGGGGAGATTGGAGACATTTCTGTTTCGGACTGAAATCTTAGTAACATAAGTGTCCAGTTGTGCAGAACTAACAGGGCAGAAAAATAAAGCTCTCAGTAACCTAGAGAACTAACTCCCATGGTGTCTGACCTGGTTTCACCATTTGGCCCTCTTTCCAGTGCTTTTTCTTTCTTTCTGTTTGGAGGATGGCACATGTCCTGGTTGTCTCTCGCACCTGGGTTTGGTTAAGAGATGCAGAGGAGTTTGAGCAGAACAGCGTGTGACATGGTTTCCAAACGTCCCCCTTTATGAGGTGTCTGACCTTTTTTTTTTTTTTTTTTGGTGTCCTGATATGCAGTAACACCTCCCTTGGACTGCACAGAGCCAGTTTATTTCCTTTGGATTGAACATTTCCAGTTTTTTATTTTCATAGCACTGAGATTTTGATTGGCTGGTCTGTGCAGAGAGATATAGACTTTTATATACTTCTCCACACTAAGAGAAGCCTCTGATGTGAGTTACTGCTGGGGTGACCTCACAAGGGACCCTTGTGTGCACTCCTCATTCCATGTGGGTTACGTCTCCTTTTCTGGAGTTTTATGACTTCCATTCCCTTGAAACAAACAGCTTTTTTTTAGAGAGTTGGCACTGGCCCTGGCCTAATGAGCCATCAGGCTTCTGTTGAAGTAATGTGCTTCCCATGAAAATCCATCTCCTCCACAACTGGCACTAATAAGCTCCCTTCTTGGCCATCTAGCAGAGGCCATGGACTGAATAGTTCACAGAGAGTGAACTCCTCTCTGGGAGATGTCTTCTTATGGAGGGATGGAGAGGTGTTAGCTATTCATGTTCTTGGGATAATGGGCTCTGCCTCTAGAGCTCAGTGTCTCTAGAGTCCAGTGTCTTTCACCAGCTCCTACTTGAAGTATAAATGAAAAAGAAAGTAGGTAGCATCAACCAGGCCTGGCTATGCACTGAGCAGCCCTCTGGAGAGGGGGTGAGGGGGTCACTGTGAGACACGAGTCATTGTTGTCTTGCTTTGATTTGTCAAAAAGGACCTAGAAATGATGACATTTTCAACATGGCTAGGACTCTCTAGTTGTGCAGAGCCCAAACTGAACCCCTTTTCTTAGCACTCATAAAGCTGGTGTAGTTGGTTCTCTGGTGGGTTCCTGACCTGGCAGCAGCCAGTACCAGTTGGCACTAGCTGACTCGTGTTTCAGACAAGAGTCATATCAAGACCACTCAACAGCTGCAAACTCTAGTAGTTTCAGTACAAGTCTGGGCTGTCTCAACAGAAACAAAATCTTTGTTCTGGCATTTACAGAACATCAAAGCAACCATGTTTGGGCTCCAACTTCCCTGAGCTCACATGTGCACCTTCACCAGCGCACACAACACTGCACATCTCCCCACTTCCTCTCCTCTCCCTCCCTGCAGTACATAGATGTGTGCTAGTTTTGTCTTCAGATGTCCCCAACATTCAGGAAAGAATCCTAAAAGTTTTGGATCAGCATTCAGAGGTCCTGCGGCTATAGGGCACCACGATGTCATGTTCCCCCAAGCTTTCCTGTTCGTGGCACCCCCGAGAGCACAGCATGATCGCAGAGCTTCCAGAATGCAGCTGCAGTAAGTCAGCTGTCACAGCCAGGCAGTGAGAATACCCAGATGGTGAATTAGCCGAACTTTCATCACTCGGGTGACTCTTATATGCAGATCAGTTTTATCCATGCCTTCTCATCCTGATGGCTCAGAGAGGCCCTTGTCTCAACCACTCCACGGTTGATTTATCCCACATCTGCCTTCTCAAGTGGAGTCTTGAATTGTTGTGAATTTGGCGCTGATGGAGGACGCAGCATGGAGGGCCCATCACCCACAGAGAAGCGGCAGCAAAGCAAGCTCTTGTGTTGCAGCCTTGCTCTGGAGGGCCCCTCTACAGGAATCAGGTAGGAGCATATAGTCCTCATGGCCTGTCCAGTCACTAGTTTCTCTCCTAAGATGACTAACCAGGGGCCCAACTGGCACTGCTTATGTTGGTTTGGTTTATGCAGCCTGGACACTGTCTGCCAGTGGGGGCCTGGGGTGAGCAGCAACCTTTGGTCTCTGTACACTCCCTCAGGGAGTCTGCTGCTGCTCAGCCCCCTTACACGAGAAGAGCCAGGCACTTTCATTGGCCCTAAATGGGAGAAAGTGGTGATGTTTTCAACCTCTAATGGCTGGAAGTGAATATGGCAATATAGCCTCTGAGCTCAGGTGGTAGAAAGGCCACCAAAGGTAGAAGGGTGTCCAAAGGGGCCTTTGCTGAAGCTGTAGCAGAACCTGGACGCTTCAGAAGTTCATATATTCCAGTTAGTGATGCTGGAAATGCTCTTAGGTTTAGAGCTGTAAAACCCACTTCCCTTTTTCCTGCCTTTCCAAAAGACACCAGTCCAAGGTAGAGGCTATGTAATTCTGGAATTTTCTGACCTTCTTGGTACAGGCTGTTTTTTATTTTTTTTAAGAAGTCCTAAGCCTCTCTCTTGATGATTTTCTCATATTGTTTACTTTTGTAGCTTTCTCTGCGGACTAGCTGCCAGAAATGACGTCCACCCTAGTCCAGCATCAGAGAATAAGAACTTCAGAGGAAGGAATGCGACTTCATAAATAGCAAACCACAGCCACTAATGGGGAGCAGAGGCAGACCTGCAGGTTAACAGACTGTGCAGAAGCCCACACGTCCATGCCGCGCAGAGATTCCAACATGATCGCAACTCTAGCCTTCGCTTTCCTCCTGAGCCTCTGTTCTTTTACATCAAGTCAGATGACAAGTGTTGGAGGTAAGTAAGCTTTAATTACCTTTATGTTCTCAGACCTTTCTGCAAACCCCATTTTGCTGCCTAGAAGAGAGGAGAAAGGTGACAAGTCGGCTGCTTCTGGTGCCGTATGAAATCTGTGTTATGACTGCAGTTTTCTTCTGCCCAACAGTGTAAATGTTTTGGTGCTGGACTATATTCCTTCTCTTGGACAGGGAAAGTTTTGCGAATTAAACCTTTTCCTCTGGCATATGAACAGGACCAAATATGCGTTGTTGTTATGCTTCTTGTGAAGGTAACAGAAGGTGTCCCTGGCAAGTAATCTTTGTTTTGCAAGTGATTAGATGAAAGACCCAGCTGGTACAGGATGCTGTGTGGCAGCTACCTGCGAATTTCTGCTTTCCCTGTGCGCTCTGTCTTCTAGGAACTCAGCTCTTTCTGGGATCCATTGCACTGGTCCACTTCTTGAGCAGGAGGTTGTTCCCTCTGTTGTTCAGATCTGGGAGACTGTGATTCGCACATCCAGCAGAGCCAGACCCAAAAGCCAAGTTCCAAACAGCAGACCGGGTGTGCGGTACTTGAGAGAGCCCAGGAATACGAATAGCAAAATAAGCAGTGGCAGCCTGGGGAAGCTGCATGTGGGAACACGGGCCCTTTTGTGTGAATTTGTATATTAAAACATTCTCCTTTGGGAAACAGCATCTTGTTAGCAGGGATGGACGAACCTGCTCGGGTCCAGCAGAAGCTGACTGGAACAGTGACGCAGAGCTTGCATGGAACGTCTTCTTCAAACTTAGTAATGACTTGACCCTCTCCCTGCCTATTCTCAGTCAGATGAGAAAAGTGACTTTCATTGGGTATATGGGTCTTAGGAAGATGCTTTTGTGATATTTTCGAAAACAAGGTGTGCTGGAAAGGGTATATATATCCAGCCAGACTTCAAGGTAATTATAGAGCAAGCCCTCCAGACTTTCAGGTTCAGGGACAACATGCTGTACAGGGGAGCACAGCTGCTTCCCGAACCCCCATCCTCACCTATCTGACATCCTGTCTCTGGTATTGACATTGTGCTTCAGAGGAAGATGGCTCCTTCCAGCAGTAGTGCCCCTGACCAATTGCACAGAGCTGCACGTGGAAGGGAAATACACCTACTGCATTTTTTCTGCGGCTGCATCTCCACTGCAGCCACAAGCAACTGCAGCTCACGTAGATGTACCCCAGTTAGCTTTAAATATGTTGGCTTCAGTACTGCTGGCTGGATAGAGTTGCTGCTGTGTGGAGTTTTGTTCAGACTAACCACTCAAGATTTATAGATCAAGAGTTGCCTTGAATTTCATCCCCAAACAAAGTGGGAGCCAATGCAGGTTGCTGACAAGCTCTGCTCAACAGGCAGCCAGTCATGGTTTCAAGTTCTTTGAGTGTAATGGTGCAGGATGGGCCCCAGGATGTCACCTGTAGGTGACAAGGCATGAATGATTGTGCCGTGTCTTAAATCACATGGCATTTTCCCCAGGCAGTTGGTCTTGAGGGTTGTACTCTCAAACAGAAGCACATGCTCTAGATCAGTCCTTTGCAAACTATCTGATGTGGCGGACCGGCAATTTTTTTTCCAGTGGGCCAGGGGCCGGTGCCCGGTTCAGCCAGTGGCAGCAACTGCGTGTAACAGCACTACGCAACTGCGCGACTGGCTGTTTCTTTCTCTTTCCTCACCTCACACGACGTGACGTCACCTGGAGTGTTGGAACGTATGAACTGTGGCGCTATGACATATCAATGTTATGCTTCTGAAAATATATTTCTTTCTTTCCTGGCAACTCGCTGCAGAGCGGCGAATATATTTCTTTTCTTCCTGGCAACTCTCTGCAGACTGGCGACCGGTGGCTCACGGACCAGCACCGGTCCACGGACCACCACTTCGAGAAGCACTGCTCTAGATTTCCTTTTGATGCTGGTGATGACCCAGGAGACATTTTGCACAGCTCTGTTCGCTCTCCCTTGAGTTGCAGCCTGAAGACGCTGCTTCTTTGTGGGTGGGCACATATCCATTTGTGTTCCAAAAATCACTGCAAGGCAGTTTTCTATTCCAGTGGAAGCTGCTGCTGTGTGACAGGGAGAAAGCAAAGCTCCCTGTGTGACAGCAGCAGGTAAAGAGGCAACTGTCACTCAGGGGCAGGGTTGGCAGTGCCCACATGCAGCAGCCCTGCTTTCTGTGCCTGGCAGCAGTTCCCCGACAGCCTGCTCAGCGAGCTTTCTGTGCTGCTCTTTCACATAAGCCTCCACTGCCTCGAGCTGTAAATTTGCCTCTGTCCTCCTATCCTCCTGGTCGGAAAGCCCTGCAGTGCCCAAACGGCACTAAACTGCCACATCAGTGGCTCTTCTAACCACTAGATTGTCAGGCTAACCCGCATGTTTGCTTGGGGATAAGTGTTACCTTGTGCACTGGGGTTTGGTCAGTTACCAAGAATGCTGCTCCTTGGACCATCATTCATCTCATATTGGGATGGGCCCAGGAAACAGTTTGGGCATGAGGCTCCCCTGACACTGAGCTCTTGTGATCCAATTCAATGTTCTCTTTTGATTTAAAAAAACCCATATTTTCTGTTAATGTTGCTGCCCTCTGGTCCTGGCTCTGTGCTGTCCAACAGGAATGGATTCTCCTTTGAGCCTGGGACTGGGGAGTGCTGTTGAACGGGGTATTTGGCAATGCTCAGAAAGGACAAAGTGGTAAGAACCCAGAATATACAAGCCAAGCAATAGTTGAGTAGGGCATGACTAGCAGCATCATCTGCAGGTCCTGACACTTGTGCTTTCTGTAGGAGGCGATGTCGGGCCCCAGATGCTGGCTGAGATGAGAGAGACGAACAGGGTGCTGCTGGAAGTCAGAGACTTGCTGAAACAGCAGGTAAGTGAGAAAGGCCTTACACACTGTGCTGGAGGGACCGAGGGGGTCCTGCCTGGTGTGTTGGCCAGTTGAGCAGGATGCATTCTTCTAGGCTGGGATAAAGTGGTTTAGCCACTTGGGGAGAGGCAGGATATGCTGCTGGCCCCAGTACCGGCTCTGAGCACTCCTGCCATGTGCATGGGATGATACAGGCACGTGCTCTGCTGCCTGGGCCCACATCTTTTGAAAATTAACTTAATTGGAGAGCAACTCTTTTTTCAAAGTAGACACGCACACAGCTGGGCATATGCGAGTGGAACAACCATGTCACTTTTTCCTTGGTTTTGTGGGCTTGTGCAATGAGCAAACAGGCCAGGCTTGGAAGAGACAGGAGCTGTTTCAAGACCCCTAGTAGTGTCCTAAATACAGAAGTCCTATAGACCTACACAAGCCCTGTATTTACTGCCCCTGTGTTCTCCTGTTGCTTTAATCCTAAACCTCTCTGGCTCCAGCAGTTGGAGGGAGACGAGAACTTTGGGGAGTTCAGATCTGTCCCCATTTTAACGAGTTGGTCATGGTTTGTCTGGTCAGCTCTTTTCTGACTACATAGAAGGTTCCATTCTCCCTCTCTCCAGGCTGTGCACTGAGGGCAGCAGGCTTTGCCTGCCAGATACAGGAATGGCAGCCAGGCCTCTGTGCCAGTGCAAACTGGGCAGCCTCTGATCTGCAAAACCATCTGTTGCATTAAGTTACTTTCACATTTCAGGCTTCTGCATAAATACCCAGTATTTACTAGGAATCAGGTCAGACACGGTTCCTGGCAGCCTGGGGTGATGCTTTCCAGCATCCCCTTCCAGCTTAGCACTGCCTCTCTGGGCAGGTTTTCCTATTTGTTCTCTTGTTCCCTGCTCCCCACTTTTTTGCCCTGGTTTCTGTCTCAAACAGTGTCTAGCCTTTTAAAAAGACCCTCCCAGCTGATGGAGTTACGTACATGCTTGGAGAGCCAAGGTGGAAGCTTGTGCAGATGTGCCCTTAATTTCTTTAACACACACAAAGATTTTTGTAGCTTAATTTTCCATGATCCAGCTTCGCAGAGGTTGGCAGTGAAGGGCAGCAATGAGAGCAGTAAAAACTGGCCATTTCAGGCCCATGAATCGCCGGCATAAAGCAATACGTAGATGAACTAGAGATGGGACTGATTAGCTGTGTTCCATTCATGACACAAACTTCCTCCATTCCCTTCCCCAGGCTTGTGATGTTTTAGAATAGGGACTTTGCTTTAGATCTGTGTCTGGGTTAGCTTAAGTTATTTAACACACATTAAACTAAATGTTGTGTGACCCCAGGTAAACAATGAATGGGGGAAGCATTTACTATAAAATTAGAACCTGCCTTGGTACCTGGGAGTCATGGAGGAAGCATAGACAGATGATTCTGTGTAGGTGCCCCACAAAATGAACTACCAGTGAAGAGAACATGAGGTGTGCAGGGTGCTGAAGGGCAGCAAGGTATTTGTTCCTGAGCAGGGCTGTGGATTTCCACTCCTTCCCTGGCACATTCGCTGCCTGTAGAACAACAGAAATCAGAGCTGAAATGACGTAGCCAGCCAGTTTGGTTTGTGTAGCAGATTCCCCATGACCAGATAAGATGCTTCAAAAGTGTTAAACCTGCCAGCACTAAGTGCAAAGTCACATCTGGAAAACATGCTGGCCAATTGTGTTTCCAAGTGCAAGCTAGTTTTCTAGTCTGGATGGGGCCAGATAAAATATGCATTGTGCACAGAACCTAGAGTTGTACCTAATGTACCGTTCACTTCTAGCTTGTGTTAGCTTAGGTGGGAGCCACACTCAGTATCCAGCTAAATGTTGATTCTTGTTCCTTTCTAGATCAAGGAGATAACTTTCCTGAAGAACACGGTCATGGAGTGTGATGCCTGTGGTGAGTATCACATGTTTAAACGCCTCACGTCTGACTGTACACTTCCTGTCTTGCACATTTGTTGGACTTGACGGTAAAACACCATGTTCTGCAGTTCCCATCAAGTTGGCTTGCACCACATTCACTAGAAGGGTCATCTGGTAATCTTTGGTCTTGGTATCGCTGCTCTTAACACACTTCAAATGTTTGTAGGTCTTTCCAGATCATTCCCACAGCCCAGGAAGCAGCTGAGACTCTTATTACTATTATGGGTGGGTAAAACATGAAAGTAATGGCTTCTTAAGGTCCTGCAGTGAGCCAGTGTTCATGTCAGGGCCAGCACATGGGAGTTTCTGGATCCCAGATCTATGTTCAGGCTGCCAGCCCAGGTCCGCCCTAGCCTGTTGGGTCTTGAGTAATTGAAGGCAGATCATTTATGTGAGGTGGGTAGGATGAGGGTGAGAACCACTCACTTACTTAAACTTCATTCTCTCTGAAGCACCGGTCTTGTCTACACAAATTTACACTGGTTTGATTAAACTGGTGTAAAACTGTGTGTGGACAGTTTTACTTTGGGTTAGCTCAAATACATTCCTTACTAACATAAGATAAACGGTTGCCTGTAGAAAGACACAAGTATCCACATGGCCTTTTGTGTGAAAATCTCACCGGAGGCAAACCCAGTGCCATGGCATGAGGTCAGGCCCCAAAACAGAGTAGTCTTCTAGGTCCATGTTGCCCAGGTCTATTCCACCTTGAACTGTCCTTCCCTCTCTCCTCCCCCTCCTCCCCTATTTCGTTGGGGAGCTATTTGGTTGCTTAACCAGCAACCAAAGTCCAGTTATTAGGTTGCTCAACCGTTCATAAACTCCACTTTGTAACAGCCCGAGGCTGTGCCACGCTCCAGTTTCCCGGGGGATCTTTACATTCTCAGGTGTGGAAAGCTGCCCAGCCACAAGTCTGCTAACAACCAAGGCATGTGTTAGAATCGCCCAGGAATGCACGGCTGGGTGTGTCTGGCTGGTTGGAGTTGGCTGCTCTTGAGCTGCGAATGAAATGGAACATCACCCCCAAGAGGCACGCTCTGCCAGTCCCTCCATGGTCCACTTACCACCACCCAAACCAGGGAGCTAATTGCAGGGGATTCAGGAAACAGCGCCATCACATTTCACCTAACAGTCGCATCCTCTGCTCTCTGGTAACTCGTGCTGTGGGCTGAGACTCACTTCTGGTATATCTGGCATAAGACTGCACGGCTCCTGGAGATGCTGTGTTGTTTGCCAGCACATCCAAAGGATAGAGCAGTAACTGTTTCCACATTTGGAGAGGTTGTTCGTCTGCTGGAAAAGCGATTAGCCAAAGCCTCTGGGATCTGCAGAACAGAATTGCAGTCACCCACAGCAATTGTTTTAATAACTTGCTCGTAAAACTGTCTTGAACTCTCTCTCTTTCACTTGATCTCTGCCTTCTCCACTTGTTGTTCTGTTTTATGGAGGTTCTTATACCACACTCATCACCACTGCATCAGAGCCCCTTCCAGTGGTGCATGGAGCAATGTGACTAATATCAGTCATTTGTTATTTGTTTTTTCATCCTCTTCCTGGGGAAATACGTGAGCAGTGGAGTGTCTTGTTGTGGAGGGGCTTCAGTTACCTATTTAACATATGCATTAGGTATTGATATGGGGGAAACCAAAGCTGGAGGAGCCTGCCTGGCACTTGCACCAGGGAATCTTGTTGTGGCCCCATGTTCTTGAGGGAGTTAATTGCACAGTCCTTGGCCCACCTCCAGAAGAGGCCCCTCTTCCACACAGACTAGCTTTACCCTTCTTGGAAAGTTCTGTAGTGCCAGAGGAGCACAGCTGTTCATGACACACTTCTGCCTGCAGCTTCAGGCTCTATTAGGTGTTCTGGGCTCAGGCCATGGAGCATCTCGAAGGACCCAGACCTTGCACTTGATTGGAAATTCCCTGGGTGATCAGTGCTGAGCACAAAGGACAGGTTTCATGTACTTGCAGCAGCTTGGGCAGATTCTGCACTACTTGGAATTCCCTGGAGCGCTGAAGGCCCTGTGCCCAGGTACCTCACACTCCTCTGTTGCCTCTGAGAAGTGATGAGGCTGTGAGTGACTGAGGCAGGCCCTAGTCTGCCAGGCTGGAGTGAGGTCTCCCAGCCAAACAAAGATGATAGCAGTCTCCCTAAGTCGTCAAGAAATTCAAGAGGGCTTCTAAGCTATGAAGTGACACAGCTAATTGAGGGCATGTACCTTCTTTTGCAGAGGCTGGGAGCTCCTGAAAGCTTCTTTCTGCACAGCTTTTTGTCACATGGGGGAGAGAGGGATTATTTTGCATTCCTGGGGTATCCTCAGGGCTTCCAGAGCAGCAAAGAGAGGGCTGTAAACCAGTGCTGCAGCTCTACACCTGCTCTGCAAGACAGAACGGTCATGGCTCTCTTGGGCTGACCTTTAAGCTGCTAGATAGGCCCTAATCTAGCAGTATTTGAGCCCTTCACCAGGGCTGGTTTTGTGGCCCTATATGAGTATCCATTTGGTTCTTACTACTGGGATAAATACGGGCGAGTAGGACAGTGATGTGATTAAGGGCACTAGGTGAGATGTTAGGACTCCTGGTTGTATTTTCCAGTCTTGCCATTGCTCTGGGGCCTCTGTCAAGCTGCTATTATGTGGGGATGTCACCTCTCAGCCTCCCAGAGGGTTGTGGAGGCAGTTCATTATTTGTGAAGCACTTTGAAGCCCCCCTGCCCTGCCCCCTAACTAGATGGGACTGAAGAAGGGTAAGTATGCCAAGTGCTGTTCTAACATGCCTGTGCTCCCCAGGCATGCACACAGAGGTGACTGGCCCAGGGATCAGCATGACAGCATTCAACAGATGCGTACCAAACCCTTGTTTCCCCGGCGTTACCTGTACCCAGACCAGCACCGAACCTGGCTTCCACTGTGGAGGCTGCCCTCCAGGATATACAGGCAATGGGACACATTGCACAGACATCAATGAGGTACAGACCCCCTGTGGTGACCAACTGGGAGCTACACAAGGGTGGAGCTAACTCCTCTCTGGAGCACTGTAATGGAGGGCCCCAGTGTCATGAAACAAGCCAGAGTCCCCATGGTGCAAGTGGAGTGGGACTTGTATCTAACCCCCTGTTTCCTCCATGGCAGGGGGTTTCTAAGTCAAGACTGGGCGTCTCTTTCTGCAAGAGATTCTTACAGTCAAACAGAAGCTCTAGGTTTGATGCAGGTGGTGTTGGGTGAGGGCCTCTGGCATGATCTGTGCTGGAGATGAGACTGGAGAACCAACAGGCCCTTTCTATCTTAACATCTAGGGAATGAATGGAAAGAAAATGGCCTTGTAGGTAGGGCTTGAATCTGTGTACCCTGCATGCAGTGAAGCCAGCATTGCTGGCACCCTCTGGATGCTTAAAAGCAGCCCAAGGTTTCCATCATCTCTATGTAGCCTCTAGTAGGCAGCGCTCTTGGTTAGCCTTCAGGAGTGAGGGGTTAAGTTAGCACAGGCTTGTTCTCTTCACGGCTGCATTTCTCCAGGGGAAATGTTTGGTCGTTGAGGTTCCTGCATGTCGCTGGGGTGTAATGCTGCTCTAGCCTGTCCATGAGAATGTGATTGACATGACAGTGGGGGAGATGATACTCTTTGCTTAACCTTTGGGACTGGAGTCCTTGCACACTCCTGTGGGAAGGGCAGGGACCTCTCTGTATGGCAAGTGAACTGCCAGGGGGTGAGAGCCAGGGGCAGTGCACCAGAAGGTCTGGCACTTTGGCTTCAGTGACACTGCCAAGCAGCAGGATCCCAGGTAACAGATGGTGCCTTAGGGGAAACCAAATGGGAGACTCAAAAGACAGTTTGCTTTTTTGTTGGCACCCATGTGCAGCCTGAGGGAGCTGTGCTCTCCCTTCACAAATAAATGTAGAGTTTCTAGTCCCTCTGACTGGTGGGGCTTACTCTCTGTGCCCAGCCCCTTCACAGTCTGCCGGGGAGCAACTGGCTTGCAGCTGAGATGAGTGATTCAGCAGCTCTCCTTCCTTCTCACAGTGCTCTGTCAATCCCTGCTTCGCCAAAGTCCACTGCACCAACACAGCACCTGGCTACCGTTGTGACCCCTGCCCTCCTGGTTACTCTGGCCAACCTGTGGAAGGGGTTGGACTACCCTTTGCCAGAGCCAACAGACAGGTAACTCCCAGCGAAACTACTCCAGTGGTAACCATTAACCCTTTGCACTGTCACCCAGTGGTCTCAAGCCCCATGCAAATGTCAGTTCAGTTTCTCAAAGCCCTGAGGTGGAGGTGAATCGTCCATGCCTTTCTAGAGCTGAGGATGCCAAAGCACAGAAAGCAATGCCTTGCCCAAGGTGTGCAGCAAGTCAGTGGCAGAGTGACTTTCATTCCT